AAAAGTTGTAAATATTTTTGATTAGGATACCTTTTAACATATATCAAAACATACATATAGGTAGCTCTAAGCTCTCTTATTTTATCTTATTATTTTTTATTGATTTAATTTAATTTAATTTTAATTTAATTTTATTTTAAACTATAGGCCTGGTGAACAGATTCGTGCATCGGCGGGGTCACTTGGCCTGGCCTGCGGGGATCAGGTCAAAGCCAGCTCTCAGACATCCCCTGAGGGGTCCCAGATTGCGAGAGGGCAGTTCTCGGGTGATGCACCCTGGAATTGGGCTCTCTCTTCTCTGGTTCCAGGTGTGTCACCCGAGAACCACAGCTGCCAAGTCACTGCAGCTTAGCAGCTCCTGCATTGAGTGTCTGCCCCCTGGTGGTCAGTGTGCATCATAGCTAACCATCAAACGGTCAAACTGTCCAATGGTAACTTAGGCTTTTATATATATACTAGAGGCCCGGTGCACAAAAATTTGTGCACTCAGGGGGGGCGGGGGGTCACTCAGCCCAGCTTGTGCCCTCTCGCTGTCTGGGACCCCTCAGGGGATGACCACCTGCTGGCTTAGGCCCACTCCCCAGGGGATTGGGCCTAAGATGGCAATCTGACATCCCTCTGGCAGCCTGGCAGCCCTCAGGGGATGTCTATTTGCTAGCGGGGAGCAGCAGTCAGACATCCTTAGCACTGCTGAGGAGGCAGGAGAGGCTCCCACCACCACTGCTGTACTGGCAGCCATCAAGCTGGCTTGTGGCTGATCAGAGTTCCCCCCCTGTGAGAGCGCACTGACCACCAGAGGGCAGCTCCTGCATTGAGCATCTGCCCCCTGGTGGTTAGTGTGTGTCATAGTGACCAGTCTTTCCCAGTCTTTCTGATGTTAGGGTCAGTTTGCATATTACCCTTTTACTATATAGGATAGAGGCCTGGTGCATGGGTGGGGGCTGGCTGGTTTGCCCTGAAGGGTGTCCCGGATCAGGGTGAGGGTCCTGCTTTGGTTCCTGGCCAGCCTGGGTAAGGGGCTGATGGCTGTTTGCAGCTGGTCACGCCCCCTTCAGGGTGGGGGTCCTGCTGGGGTGCCTGGCCAGCCTGGATGATGGGCTGATGGCTGTTTGCAGCTGGTCACACCCCCTTCAGGGTGGGGGTCCCCACTGGGGTGCCTGGCCAGTCTGGGTGAGGGTCTGAGGGCTGTTTTCAGGCTGGCGGTTGACTGAAGCTCCCAGCCTCTTTTTTTCTTTCTTTCTTTCTTTATTCTGGGATTTATTTACCTTCTATAGCTGTCACTGGAGCTGAGAGCCGGCTCCAGCTCTGAGGCCCGGCTCCAGCTCTGAGGCCTTGGCTGGCTGAAAGCAGGTATCTGGGTTTGTTTAGCTTCTATAAATTGAAACTCTGTTACCATCACTGGCGCTCTAAGCTCTGAGCCCACTGCCGGCTGAAAGCCGGTACCTGGGGTTTGTTAACTTCTATAATTGCAACATTGTTGCATCCGGAGCTCAGAGCTGGGCTGTGCAGGCGGGGAACCTTGGCTTCCTCCATCGCCTGGGCAACCAAGCCTCATGTTTGCTTCAGCTGCGTGGCTGCCAGCTGCCATCTTTGTTGACAGTTAATTTGCATATCTCACTGATTAGCCAATGGGAAGGGTAGTGAAGTTACGGTTAATTACCATGTTTCTCTATTATTAGATAGGATATGTGTGTGTGTGTGTGTGTGTGTGTGTGTGTGTGTGTGTGTGTGTATGTATGTATATATATACCAGTAGATATCTTTATTGATTTCAGAGAGGAAAGAAGGAGAGAGCGAGATAGAAACATCAATGATGAGAGAGAATCACTGATCAGCTGCCTTTTGCATGTCCCACACCCAGGCATGTGCCCTTAACCAGAATCAAACGTGGGACCCTTCAGTTAGCAGGCTGATGCTTTATCCACTGAGCCAACTGTCTAGGGCTCTAGCACCATTTTAAAGACTGCCCTGATATTAAAATTGAGCAGAGCTAAACTTTACCATTTTAGAATTAATCTCTCAATAGAGGAGGTGGTCCCCACTACTCTTATTTATGCAGTATTTTTACCTTCTTCACAACAGTGTACTAATGAATCTTATGAAATGGTCCTGGTGGTAACAATGATGATGATGATGAAGTCAAGGTTGTTATAATAAAAAAGCTATAGTCATTATCAATATTGAGGATCTACATGTGTAGTCAACATGCCATATTATTTAAATACATTATTTCGTTTTATCTTTAAACAGCCCTGTGAAGTGGGTTTTATTACTGCCATTTTGTAAGACAAAGAGTCCTTAGAGCAAGTAACTTGCCTATAGACTCTTTGTTAATAAATGGAAAGAATTGAATTTAGTTATTGTGCTCTTACTATTATTCATAAAAGTATTAATTTAGGTAAAGGTTTTTATAATGCTAGAAGACATTTTCTGATTTTTAAAATTATTTCATGTTTCCATTTTGATCTAAACATACTTGCATAATAGGAGTACATATATTTTATTCAACTTCATAACTGCTGATAATGATGTTCCTTTAATATGTAATCATATCTAGTTCTACTGTAGATTGTCAATAAATCTAAAAACATAATTGACAACAATAATTTCACATGCATTAGAGTTTCTAAAAGGCTAGTTAAGCTGTTCATACCAATAAAGCAATTTAGCAGTATATATATATATATATATATATATATATATATATATATATACCTATATATACACATATATATATATATATATATATATATATATACCTATATATACATATATATATATACATATATACATATCATAGTCTGGAAATCTGTCTGTTGAGATATCTATTTCTAACAAGCTCAAGAAAATTACAGGAAAATGGAAAGGGAAGAAATATGTTCAGCTTATATACAGAAAATACTAAAAGAGTACTTATATGAAGGAAAAAGCAATTTGGGCCTTTTATGTTGCATGATTGTTTTGCCACAAAGAGCAATAAAACAGAAGAGATTGTCAGCTAATTTAATTGTTTAATTTGATTTAAGGAGTTACATCTACACATGAAACACTTGTTTTTTCCCTGCAAGAACTAAGGGTGAATTCTTTTTGTAATAGAATAGGCTAACTAATGGGGTGAGACGTTCAACTTGGGATAATGAAGTTGAGGGCTTCCAGCTGACAACTGATAAATTCTGCATCTTCTTCACCCCAGCTATGTAGAGTAGGGGCATAGACTTCTTTATTAGAGTCATATGTGGTCCACTTATATTCATTTTTTATTGCTTGACTTAATTTGTGTTTGAAATGGTTAAAATTATTTATATAAGCTGGATTTCTTTTTAAGAAGCAACAGGCTTTCCATATGTTTTTTTTTTTTTCAGATAAGTTGTAAATGAAAGTGTATTCATTACAAATAAGTGCTTATTTTCTGAATTCAGTAGTTATCTTGTTATTATAAAGCTTTTCTATGATTATTGAAGCAAATTCACAGAATAAATAAAAGTATAAAGAATAATCTACAAATAAGCTATAAATCTCCCATCCCCAAAACAACCAAGTGTATTATTCTGATGTTTTTCCTACCAGGCTTGCTTACCTGCTCTATTTACACAGTTTGGGTTACACCATCTATACAATATATTACCCTGCTTTCTTCACCTAATTTACATAATGAACAAGCACTACCACATAGTATGAAATATTATTTTGAATTATGAATTTTAATGATTGTATGCTATACTAACATATGGAATAAATTACATATAAGGAGGTTGTTTAGTCAACCATTACATTTAAGAAATTCATCAAATTTCTGATTTTATCGGCAGTCATTAGCAGAATATTCCTGATCTGATTGTATGTCTATAACCATTTATTTTTTTCTAAAAAACCCCAGCTATTTGAATTTAGATTTATAGCTTATGTGCCTGAAACTGTCCTTGGAAAACTTCATCTGTAGACATCAATTTTGAAAGCTATGTACTTTAAAACAGAGCATGCTGTTCGATCTCTTAGAAACCTTATTAGCCTGCTCTCAATCCATGCATTATTTTCATGACTGGTGGTATTTTTATCAGCAAAATGAGGCAGTATATTTTGGTATTTGTTGCTTGATAGTTGGCATTTGATATCTCCTTTATCATCCTAAATCTACTTTAGTGGAACTATTGTAAAGAACGCATACGATAACACCCTAGCCAGTATTATTCAGTGGTTAGACCAAAGAGTCTCAGGTTCAATTCCTGTCAAGGGTACGTACCTGGGTTGCATATTTGATCTCAGTCCTGATTAGTGTGTGTGGATGGCAACCAATCAATGGCTCTCTCACATCGATGTTTCTCTCTCTCTCTCTCTCTCTCTCTCTCTCTCTCTCTCTCTCCTCTCAATCCTACTTTCTCCCTTCCATACTCTCTAAAAATCAATGAGCCCTAACTGGTTTGGTTCAGTGCATAGAGTGTCAGCCTGCTGACTGAAGGGTCCCAGGTTCAATTCAGGTCAAGGGCATGTGCCTTGGCTGCGGGCACATCCCTAGTAGATGTGCAGGAGGCAGCTGATCGATGTTTCTCTCATTGATGTTTCTAACTCTCTATTCCTCTCTGATATTTTAAAATCAACAAAATATGTTTTAAAAATAAATAAATAAATAAATAAATAAATAAATAAATAAATAAATCAATGAAAAAAATGGCCTTGGATGAGTATTAACAAACAAACAAGAAGACATAAGATAATATATAAAAATGATTTTACACAGTGTCAATGACAGTTCTCTTTTTTCTTCTCTACGCAGAAGAAAGTGTTGAGTAAATTTTTAAAAACATTCACTTCTTTACAAATAAGAAAACAAACCTGAGGCTTTAATTAGTTATAGAATGTCTACTCTGACCTTACCTCTAGAATGGAACCATCTCCAAAGTAAACACTGGAGAAGTGATTAGGCCTGTCCACCAAATGGGGTTTCTGTCAATTCCATACAGAATAAGTGACATATGGCAGTAAAGAAAGGGAAGGGGACTTACATCTGCTTAACTCTATGAAGCAGGCTGTACCAAGCACTTTATATTCATAACGGAAGGTATTGTCTTCTGCATTTTGAAAGGAGGTAACTGAAGCATGGAGAGTGAGCATATTTACCTAAATATGTTTTGCCTAAATGTTACTAAATGTGTTCTGTTTATATTTTCATATTGGTGAGCGTGTACCTGCCACTCCCCATTTTATTGACAATAGAATCTCGAGCTATAGCCACATGGGCTTTCTTGACTGACACTTCAGACTGGAATAGGTTAGGGATAGAGTACAATTAAGATTTTCTAGCTTTAAAGTATCTGTTGCCTAGTAGGTGTTCGCGTGGAGTGGGGTGAGGTGTAAAAGTTCCACAGCCAAGAGAAAGTGGAAAGGGGAGTGTCTCATCCCCTAGATCAGCGGTTCTCAACCTGTGGGTTGCGACCCTTTTGGCGGTCGAATGACCCTTTCACAGGGGTCGCCTAAGACCATCCTGCATATCAGATATTTACATTATGATTCATAACAGTAGCAACATTACAGTTATGAAGTAGCAACGAAAATAATTTTAGGGTGGGGTCACACATGAGGAAATGTATTTAAAGGGCCAGAAGGTTGAGAACCACTGCTCTAGAGGAAGCAGGAGAGCTGGCCATCTTCTCTCCTTTTCTAACGATCAGTAGTAACCCTTGTGTAAAATTAAGCTGTCTGTGTGATATATAGAGTAGCCTGAAATTAACTTTTAAATGTTTTCTATCTTGAAACATGCATTGAAAATAAATTTTCACCTGCATAAATGCACTCTTTGGCTTAAAGGCTTAATCACCTTTAAAGAGAGGCTTTTCTTAACCTGATTCCATTGTTACACTAATGACAGTGACTCTTTAACTCAGTGGGTGTCAATATTGATTATGACTTTTAGATTTTACTTTTTCTCATTAGAGTTTAATTTCTATCTAAAAATAGATCATAACTCTCAATCTGCGGCCACCTTGGAGTTTTTCCAAGATGCTGGATTCATGGTAAGATAAGTGTTCAATTTGATACTGGAGGTCACCAGGGAACCTGGACTATTTTTTTCCCTACTGCAATGCTCTGTTTTGCAGAATAAAATAGTGTCTGTGGTCTTCTCTGCAGAATTAATCACAAAAGCCAAGTGCATACTGCAGGTACAATCAGCACCATCTAATTATCTCAAACTTGTTTGTCTTAAGACTTTATTTAGCTGAGCACATGCACACGATAATAACAAATAGGCTAATTCCAGCTCCTGTCAACCGCAGGCAATGCAGTAATTGTAAATGGGGTCTGGTGCATTTAGAGACTGTGTCCATGTGACATGCTAGCAGGTATGAAGTGGGAAGACAATAAGGCAAGAAATAGAGAAGCAGATTTTGATTTTTGTTTTCTTCAGCAGAAAAAGCTACCAAGCGTATGTGAGTCTTTAATGTGTATGTGAAACATTCAGTTATTTGTCTATATACTAGAGGCCTGGTACACGAGTTTGTGCACCAGTGGGGTCCCTTGGCCTGGCCTGCGGGATTGGGCCGAAACTGGCTCTCCCACATCCTCCGAGGGGTTCCAGATTGTGTGAGGGTGCAGGCCAGGCTGAGGGACCCCACTGGTGCACGATCAGGGCCAGGGAGGAACACAGGAGGTTGGCCAGCTTGGGAGGGACCACAGGAGGGCTCCAGGGTGTGTCCGGCCTGTCTTGCTCAGTCCGGATCAGCCAGACCCCAGCAGCAAGCTAACCTACCAATTGGAGCATCTGCCCCCGGTGGTCAATGCACGTCATAACGAGCGATTGAGTGACCTTAGCATACATTAGCATATTGCGCTTTGATTGGTTGAACAGCCGACCAGACTACTGGGCACTTAGCATATTAGGCTTTTATTATATAGGATTGTTAAAATCCATCCTAATATGTTATTAGCTATATATCTTTCTAAAATATTAAGAGCAAGTGAGGTTGATGTTTCAGCCTCACAGGAATGTTTTATGGGGTTTTTTTTAGAGAATCTCTACCGGTCAGTCAAGAGACACTCTCATGCCTTTTATTATTCTCTATGGATAGCTATAGCTGATGAGCCTGTTAATTCAGCACTGCAAGGCAGATCGGGTGCTCCGCCAGCTTGAGGGCCGCAAGGAGGTGATTGCAACCCTTAATGGAATGTGAATGGCAGTTGAATAAGAGAAGAGTCCCCTGTCCTAGAGGTTCCTCTGAGCTTCCTTCCATCAGCTGTCTGTCTTGCTGACCATCTCTTGCTCACTGTCAACAATCATTACTCTCCTTGTTCTTTGCTGCTTTCTCTTTTAAAACCTATATATACATGTGGGAAATCTGATGGGGACGGATCTTGCAGTGGGAGAGAGGCTTGTCTGAGGAGCTCTGCTGTTCCCCCAGGTGGTGTAATACTTCTCTGTGCCCCACGGGAAGGCCTAATCATTCGGCCTCCCTGGGTCAGGCATCCTCAGTGCCGAGCCTCCACGTTCATCTGTCCCTTTCTTTTGTAACTTAAATCCTGTATTTCTGCCCCTGGCCACACCCAGAGAATTTTTTTTCATTTTAAAGATGCCAAACTTCTTAAGGGTAAAAATGTGAATTAGCAGTTTTCCTGAGGGCTCTGTAATTTATCTCATTCACTAGCATATGCACGTTTTCCAATAGGAATGTATGGGCTGATTGAATTATTTCCCCTTAATTGTTTTTGTCAAACCAGTGACTTGTTTTGAAAATATATGTGCATAGGTTTTAAGAAAAAAGCACTGCTCTTTCAGATCAGTTAACTTTATTCCTGGTGATTTTTAACTTGAGGGCCACACACTGTGTGTTGAATACTTCGGCGTTTAAGACGTGCTGGGTGTGATTTCCGTTCATCTATTATTAAACAAAACCAGTTTACTATTAATATCTTAACAGAAGATACTTGATTTACAAACTGGGTCAAACGCTTAAGACATACACTTGTTGTGATAATTAAAAGGTTTTTCTCTAGTCCTAGCTGGCTTGGCTCAGTGGATAGAGCGTTGGCCTGAGAACAAAGGGTCCCAGGTTCCATTTCGATCATAGTCAGATACCTTGGTTGCAGGCTCCTCCCTGACTCAGGCCCTGATCTGGACTTCTATGGGAGGCAACCAATCGATGTGTTTCTCTCACATCCCTGTTTCTCTCTCCTTTCCCTCTCTCTTCCACTCTCCCTAAAAATCAATGGGAAAATATCCTCAGGTGAGGATTAACAAAAAAATAAAAAATAAAATAAATAAATAAGTAAAAGATTTTCCCTCATACTTGCATCCCCACAGCTGTGCAGTTCTGTAAATCCACCTTTTGTAAATCCTTCATTTTTCATACCTTCCAAATATCTGAACCCTTTGCCTATTTAAATAGCAAAACTTTTAGTTAAACTCAACATTTTTTAGTTAAACCCAACGTTTCATTCTACTCCGCACCTACCCAGCAGAAAGTGATAAAAAAAATTTTCAAAAATCATATAGGTTGATTTTGTTAGGTTAGGTGGCTCAGGAGGCGGCGCAAGAAATAGAGAGTCCATAGTAAGTTTATAACTAGTGATCTCAAGTGGACTCCTTGTGTGCCCACAAATTCCCTATTTCCCTGGTGTACTTACTCTTCAACCTCTTATCAAATAATTCACACCTAGTTTTCCCCTCAAACTTCTAGTCTCTTCTTCCCATTCTGATTCTCAGCATGCTTACTGATAAAATGGAAGCAGTGCAAATATAATTGTCATCACTCTCCCTTCCAACCTACTTACAGCTCACTTACTGATTACCTCCTGCTACTCTATAGGAACTGTCTTATACAACACAAGGTCAAACACTCAAATAGGCACTGGGTCCCACCCTGCCCTTCCCCCTCTCCCTACCCCCTGCCCCCCTCTACCCCCCCCCCCGCCGCCCCCCCAACCTGCATCATCTTTTTGGTTTGTTTGTTTGCTTGTTTGTTTCCCTAGCTGATTCCTCTCAGTACACCAACATGTGAAATTTCTCTCTCATGATAAACAAAGTAAGACAAAATAAAGCCAGAGCCACCCCCCAAATTTCACATTTCTCTGCTTTACACCAAAACCCTTGAAAAGATTTATTTAAAAAAAAACAACAAAAAAACATCTCTTGATATCTCTAATTTCTCTTTTGTTTTTTGAATCTACTCCACTCTTCCAAGTCTGATCTTTCTTAGGTAATGAATGGCTTTTTAAAAAAATTAAGGTCAGCAATGATTTTCCTTGATGTCAAATACAAGTTGCTGAATCCCCAGTGGTCATTTCTCATTTTTCTTCTGACCTATCAGCCCTGTTTGATAAATTGATTACTTAGTCATGTGTGAGACCTTCCCCACCTCTGCCCCTTGGAGAATCATTTATGATGTTGGAATAGGGCAGTGATATAATCAAGGCTCACTTGAGGAAGGGTCACCTTGATAGACCAGAAACTAGAGAAAAACTCTGGCATAAAGAATTGCAGTCATCAGAGGGATGGATAATGATAAAAATAATTAGGGTAACACTGGTATAAAAGTAAAGAAAGTAGAGCATAGAAGATAGTTTACAAATGTGAAACTAACACAACCTGCAATGGATTTAATGTTAAGGTGAAACTAAAATTAAAATCTGCATTTGCAGTAATAAAAAGAACCCCCTAATATCAGTGGCTTAGAATAACACACATTTATTTCTTATTTACAATATATGCACAACTGTGGGTTGGCTGCTGTGGCTTGACTTTACTTGGTATTTTCCCATTCCTAGACCTAGACTTGAAGGGCTCGGCCCTGTTTGGAATATCTTTTCTTGAGACAGAGAGGAAGAAGGAGAGAGCTGACGGAAACTTGTAATGCTCCTTAATACATGTGTCATATGTCATATATGTCATATTTGCTTACATTCCATTGGCCAAAGCAATCATTTGGCCAAAGTCAAAGTCAATGGCACAGGCATGTATAAGCCACAGAATGGAATGAACAGTTTCTGAACAATAATTCCATTTTCTATAATGGCAGTTCAGACTCGTTTCTATCCTTTTAAGTGATTGTAAAAATAATGAGCAGAAATAGAAAATCTAGTAGGAAGGATGGATTTGGGAAGGAAGATGAATTCAGTGAGAA